AAGTCCGTAGCCATTCTGGCTCAAGCGTTTTGTGCTCAAACCAGTTGGCAAAGATATTGGCGACGGAATTCTGCAAAGCCTTACGCGGGATCCCAAAGCGCTTGTGGGGCAATGGCTCCGATCAGTCATGTCGCTGCCTTCTTAGCGCTCGTTGTGACGGTCAACGCCGACTTTCCTTGTGGTGATTATGACCTGTCGCCCGCAGCAGGCAACCCCGTGTGCGGTGTGGATCAATCAGCTTGTGACGAGACAATCTGTTGCGCAGCAGGGACGAGCGCCCCGACCTCTGCACCGACGCCCATGCCTCCGACCGATGCGCCGACGCCGATGCCTCCGACCTATGCGCCGACGCCGGCGCCTCCGACCTACGCACCGACGCCGGCGCCTCCGACCTACGCACCGACGCCCGCGCCGACGGCTGCGACGGCTGCGCCGACTCCGGCGCCTCCGACCTACGCGCCGACGCCGGCGCCGACGGCCGCGCCGGGGACGCCAGCGCCGACGGCCGCGCCAACGGCCGCGCCGACGGCAGTGCCGACGGCCGCTCCGACGGCCGCGCCGACGGCCGCGCCGACGCATGCGCCGACGAGTGCACCGACAGCTGCGCCGACGCCGGTGCCTCCGACCCACGCGCCGACGTCGGCGCCGACGGCCGCGCCGACGCCGATGCCTCCGACATACGCACCGACCCACGCACCGACGGCCGCGCCGACGCCGATGCCTCCTACCTACGCGCCGACGCCGGCGCCTCCGACCTACGCACCGACGCCCGCGCCGACGGCTGCGCCGACACACGCACCGACGGCAATGCCGACGGCCGCACCGACGCCGATGCCTCCAACGAACGCGCCGACGCCGGCGCCGACTAGCGCCTTCACGTGTGATGACTACGAGAACCTACCCGGCGTGAGCTTCGGGAAGCGCGACGTCGTCGGCGCCGCCTCTGCCATCATGTGCGTCCTCGCCGCAGCATGGGCCTGAGCGCGATCGATGCCGGAGGAGGTCTGACGCACCAGGGGAGGGGGAAGGGGAAGAGAGGGATGGAAAGAAGGGTAGGAGTTGGAAGACAACATCGTTACCACGTGGTCCCTGTTTTGGTGCTTTTCCTGCATCTCGTGGCTATCCCATTTCCATCGGGGGTGGACAGAACCCCCAACAGTTTCACGTCGATTAGTGAATTGTCCGTTTTCGGTTCTCGATATGGCGCCGTGGCCATTGTTTTCCAGTCTTGCGCCCGCCAGGTTTGGGCCTCAGGTCGTTTTCACTAAACCACGTTTTACTAAAGGTGGGTCTGTCCATCCCCGATTCCAGCGCCATGAAAACTCCATGGCTGGACACGCTTCTTGCGACTAATACTTTGTCTGTCTTAATCAACTCAGTCAGACGTGTCTGGGCCTGCGATTCGTCAAAGACGGGCATGCAAGTCTACAGATGGGTCGTTGCGGCAGGCTGGTGCACGGACTTCTCGCCGCAGGGCTCCCAGGAGCTTCGTGCATTTTGGGGCCTCTCCCTTCAGGTACTCCTCGCCTTGACAGGCAGCGGCCGAATATCGGCCTCGCTGCCAGGACACAGCTTTGGCACGGCATTGCCCCTCGTGCGTCAGTGAGACCCTCGCCACCGGCGTCGCGGAGGGCTTGGCAAAGCTGCACAAGCGGGGCCGGACGAACTGTGTGTATTTCGGGCCAACTGATGAAAAAAAACGTTCCCCCTCCAAAGCGAGGCCAGTGAGGAGTTCGCCAGATCCGAGCACCCCTCAGAGGTGCGCCCGGGTTTTGCTGGGACGGTAGCAAGCCAGTCCTTTTTGGAGCGGGAGAGCAACGAGTTCGCGAGGGGCGGGCCAGTTCTGGGTACGGGTCGTGCCCGCGCCTTCGCCCCACTGGTGCTTCTGGCGGGCCCCAGGTCCAGGCCTCCCTGACGGGGTCCGAGTAGAGAGCGATGCGGCTCGATGTGGAGCCCGATTCCCTCCACTTCGACATCGCCGAAGCATCGCCGACGTCGCCAATGCATCGTTGATGCACCGGTGAGGCATCGGCGATGCATCGGGGATGCGGCGCAATCCTCCGACCCATCCACCCGGGCCCCATGTAGGGGGCCTCTGCCAGAGGGGGGCGTCCCTGTGGCGTCTCCGCTTCGATCTGGCACGTCTCTCACAAGGACGGTGTCCAATGTGGAGGCCTCGAGTACGGTCCCAGTTGTGTCGTCCCCGTGGTCTCCTCGCGTCAGTTCGGCGCACCGCTCACACGCATCACGCTTCCGATTGGGAGCCCGTTCATTCCCGCCCCCTCCCCCGCCCTGTTTCCCTATGCCCTTCGTCGTCCTCCCCTTTCCCATCGTCATCCTTTTTCTGCCTTCCCCCCCTGCCCCCACCCACGTCATATATGCAGTTGCCCCCATGGTTGGCAGGGCTGGTGCATGGATCTCCGGCGTTTTGAAAGCTGAAGGCGCATGCGCGTCGTCGGCCACGGGAAGGGCGGGGCGGGGGAGGAGGAGGAAGAGGAGGAGGAGGAGGAGGAGGAGGAGGAGGAGGATCAGTGTAAAACCAAGCCGCATCAACGACGTTGCAATAAAACCGTCCCTCCAAGTTCCCTCTCCATGGGTCCCTACAAGAATTTGTTTTCTCTGCTGGAAGTGCCCCGTTGGAAGAGGCAAATCTGAGAGTCCTCAGTCGTGCCAGAATAACACTCCATGGACTCCAATGCCGCGAATCAACTGAACTTTTGCGTCATGATGATCCTGAACCTTGCCAGAACGTTATTGGCTTGTGCGTCCTGGCAGTTCTTATCCGTGCAGGAACACCATAGTAACCCGTTAAACTGTTGTAGACTTTCAGGACGTATGTGTGTGGTGCTGAAGCGAGAATCACATTTTGAAGAAGAGCCGGAATCCGTGCGTGACAATCTTGCAAACTTTGAAGACGAGTGAGGGCGGCGATAAGGCGAGAGAAATATTTTGAAAAGTAAGCGCCTTCCTTTTGTGAAACTCTGCCGAACTTTCAAGGCAAACGTGGGCGGCACTAAAGCGAGAACCACATTTTGAAAACCATCCACCCTGAAATTCGTCAAGCGTCTGCAGATCTTTCAGGCGAATGTATGCAGGTCTGAGGTGAGCACCAGATTTTGAAAAGGAACCGCCCTCCGTCCGTCAAGCTTCTGCGACATTTAACACGAGTGTGCGCGGCGCTCAAGCGAGAGCCACATTTTGAAAACGACCCGCCCTCAATCCGTGAAGCTCTTGCAAACTTTAGGACGAAGATGCGTGGCGCTATGGCGAGGACCACATGTTGAAAACCACCCGCCCTCTATCCGTGAAGCTCTTACAACTGTTCAAGTTCCAGTATCATGCATGGGCAGGAAGTCTCAGGCGAAATTACCCGCCCGCCCTACCGACACGTCTCAGGGTGCGACAGGGAGGAGTTCTTTATGAGGGAAGCGATGGACAAGAAGGGGGGAGGAGGCGGAGGAGGACCAGTGTAAACCCAAGAGTCACCAATGATGTTGGAATAAGCCCTCCCCCCAAGCTTTCTCTTCATAGGCCCCTACAACGGTTCATTTCCACAGAGGGACCTGCCTCGTTCGAACCGTTTGAACACCCTGAAGCATGCCAACACACTGTTATCGGTATTCCAACGATTAACCTGATTGTTGCGTCTTGACGATCCTGAGTAGTGCCAGAACGCCATTCCTGGGACTTCAACGCGGCGAATCAGCGTAAATATTGCGCCCTTACAATCGTGAACCCCTCGAAAACACAATTGCTGGTACGTCGATCATGGGAATCCGTGGAACTCTTTCATTTTTAACAAGGATGTGCGCGGCATAGGGGCGAGAGCCACGTGTTGAAAAGGAACCGCCTTCAATCCGTGAAGCTCTAGCAAATTTTGAAAATCAATGTGCGCGGCGCTAAGGCGAGAGCCACATTTTGAAAACGACCTGTCCTCAACATTTGCGAATTTTGAAAACGAATGCGCTCGGCGCTAAGGCGAATGCCGCATTTTGAAAACGTTCCGCCTTCAATCCGTGAAACTCTTGCAAATGTTGAAAATGAATGTGCGCGGCGCTAAGGGGAGAGCCTCATTTTGAAAAGGACCCGCCCTCAATCTGTGAAACTCTGGCAAATCTTGAAAGCGAATGTGCGCGACGCTGAGGCGTGAGCCACATTTTGAAAAGGTTCCGCCCTCAATCCGTGAAACTCTTGTAATTGTTGAAAACGAATGTGCGCGGCGCTAAGGCGAGAGCCACATTTCGAAAACCAACCGCTCTCCATCTGTGAAACGGTTTCCAATTTTTCAGCGTCATCATCATAAATAGTGAGGAAGTCAGGCGAAACGCCTGGCCCGCTCTAAAAACTGGCGTCGGGGTGCGACAGGGAGAAATCTTCTATCAGGTGAAGGGATGGAGGAGGAGGAGGAGGAGGAGGAGGAGGAGGAGGAGGGGGAGGAGAAGGCAGGAGGGGGAGCTAGGAGTTGCAGGCAACCTTTAGGTTCCCTGCCCGACGTGCCAAGCCGACGCTTTCCTGCCTGGTAAGTTTAGCTGCCGCCCCATACTCTGATCCCCAGAGGTCCCTGAAGATCCCCGAAGGTCTCCCGAGGTCCCTGGGCTTCCCCAGAGGCCTCTGGTGTCCCCGCAAGTCCTTAGAGGCCCGGCAAGGGCCAAAAACTTATGAGAACCTCCCCCGCTGGACCCTCGAGGGTAGAGAGCGACACTCGGCATCTCCTGCTCGCTCGGCCAGCTCCCGGCGAGAAGCCCTGCGCGGATCATCGGCGCAGCCCTGCTCGGACCACCGCGGGAACGTCCCGATTTCTTCCGGGCCTCCCGCCCCGCGGAGCGGGGTGACACGTTGCCCGCTATCAGGGCATCGCGTGTCACTGGGGCCGCCGCCGCGACACGGTAAGCAAAACTTCTCGACCTTCGACCAGATACAATTGACCTTTGCTTCCGCTTCAGACACACCTTGGCATCGGGCGGGGCTAGGAGAGGGACATATAGTTCCAGTGCGTTCCGGAGCGCTCTCAGATCGTTCTGGAGCGCCCTGGAATGGCCGCAGCGCCCGATGTATCATCCAGAGCCGCTGGATCTGAGAGATCCCCGATTTAACCAGGTCTGATTTTGTCCGTGTGCTGGCCTCGTCTCATGGCATCCGCTGTCCTCCTCCTCCTCCTCCTCCTCCGCCTCCTCCTCCTCTTCCTCCGCCTCCTCCTCCCTCCTCCTCCTCCATCCACCTCCTCCTCCTCCGCCTCCTCCTCCTCCTCCGCCTCCTCCTCCTCCTCCTGTCTGCGCCAGCCCGCCAGGCGGGCCGGGCCCCAGCCCGCGGCGGCGCCTGGCTGGGGCGAGGGCTCGCCGTCCGCGGCCGCCCTCCCGTGCCCGAAGCGCCGGAAGGCGGGCGGGTCCCACGGCAGAACTCAGCCACGCGCAGAGGGGGGTGGGGGGGAGGGGGGAGGGCTTCTCAGCAGCACCCCTGCTTCTTAGAAGCCCTCCCCCCTCCCTCCACTCCCTGGTGCGCGCCGCCAAAAAGCGGTCGGCTCGCTCCCGGAGGTCCTGGCGTCGACCAGGCGTAGGAGTGGCCTTTCGCCGGAGTGACCTTTGGTGCGGGCCCACGGGGGTCCCCTGATCGCCCAGCGCGAGGCGGCAGTGGCGTCTTGCGCGCTTGCTTTTGCCCCACCCCCCGTGTCCCCCACAGAGCTGCGCACCAAAGGTCACTCTTATCCAGGGTCACTCTAACGTGTAGCCGATAGCGTCTCAATTTTTTCGAGCTCGGCCTTTTCCGCTCGGTTTCGGGTCCTGGGGCCCTCACAGATCGATCCGCCTGGAAGAATTGCGCAGAAAGATGGGGTCAATGGCTCTGGTCGTGATTTTCACGATGCTTCATTTTCTTCTCACGCCGTCGGATCTCAGGTGTCGGTTCGGCTGCTCACCACGCGCTCGGTTCGGTTCGGTCGTTTTTGTGTCGCTGCCATGCTGTCTTGGAGGCCTCTTGGGCCGTCTTGGAGACCTCTCGGGGGCTTCTTGGGCCGTCTTGGGCTATCTTGGAGCCATCCTGGGCCGTCTTGATGGCCTCTTTGGGCCATCTTCGGCTCTCTTGGCGCCATCTTGGTCGTCTTGGAGCCCATCTTGGGCCATCTCGGCCGTCTGGGAGGCATCTTGGAGTCCATTTTGGGCCATCTTGGGCGAGAAAGGCATTGACATGTACATTTTCTGGGTGGTCAGCTCGCTGGGCCGAAGCCCCAGGGGGAGTTCTTTTGGAAAAGAGCCCAAACCAAGCCGAGTATAGAGTCTCGCACGCAGGGCACCCCTGTGGCAAGCCAACAGGGGGCGGCGGATCGAAGACGCCTACGGCGAATCACCGCCGCCTCCTGCCTTTGTGGAAGCGCCTATGTGGCCGAACGTTGAGGCCAGACCTGCCAAGCTATCGGACCATGTGTTCCCCGAATCGGTTTGGAAAGCCTTCGGGGAACACGTGGGCATCTTGAAGGTCATCTTGGCCGTCTGGAGGCCATTTTGACCCTTTCGGGCCTTCTTGGAGGACGTCTTTGAGGGCTCTTGGGCCGTCTTGGAGGCCATCTTGAGCGTCTTCAAGGCCTCTTGGGCTGTCTTGGGGGCCTCTTGGGGCCGTCTTGGGCCTCTTGGGCGATCTTTATGGGCACTTGGGCCGTCTCGGGCCGTCGGACGGCAGAAAAACAGCAAATGCCACGATCCTTCAAAATCTCATGGGAAATCAATCAAGGATTTTGGCCTTTGCGGGCCTTCCTGGAGGCCCTCTTGGAGGTATCTTGGGCCGTCTTGGGCCATCTTAGTGCCATCTTCGGCCGTCTTGGTTGGCCCCTGGCCCGTCTGACGCCGTCGGAAGCCGTTTGGGGGGCCTCTTTGAGCCGACTTGGGGCCCTCTTGGAATGCTCCAGGGCCGTCTTAGAGGCCATCTTGGGCGTCTGAAGAGCCTCCTGGGCCGTCTTGGGGGCCTCTTGGGGCCGCGGGCCTTTTTGGGCTGTCTTGGGGCGTCGGGAAGCCGAAAGGGCGGGAACGCTAAACTGTTCGACTTACTTTAGGAAAACATGTGATTTGGGCCTCGTGGGGCCCTCTTAGGGCGCCTCTCGGGGCTCTCTTGGAGCGTCTTGGGGACCTCTTGGGCCGTCTTAGTTTCTCGGGGGCGTCCTTGGGAGGTTCCGCGGCCAGTTGGAGCCGTCTTGGGGCGGTCTTGGAGCCTCTTGGGGCTCTTTTGGGCCGCTCTTGGGCGCCCCTTGGGCGCTCTTGGGGCCGTCTTGGGGCCCTCTTGGGCCGTATTGGCCGCCGCTTGGGCCGTCTTTGGGCCCTCTTGGGCCGTCTTGGAGCCGTCTTGGGAGCCTCTTGGGCCGTCTTGGGGCGGTCTTGCATGCCTTTTGGGCTGCCTTGGAGCGTCGGGAAGCCGAACGGGCGGGAACGCTAACATGTTTGAAATACCTGAGGAAAGTCAACGGTTTTGGCTTCTTGGGGCCCTCTTAGGGCGCCTCTCGGGGCTCTCTTGGAGCGTCTTGGGGACCTCTTGGGCCGTCTTAGTTTCTCGGGGGCGTCCTTGGGAGGTTCCGCGGCCAGTTGGAGCCGTCTTGGGGCGGTCTTGGAGCCTCTTGGGGCTCTTTTGGGCCGCTCTTGGGCGCCCCTTGGGCGCTCTTGGGGCCGTCTTGGGGCCCTCTTGGGCCGTATTGGCCGCCGCTTGGGCCGTCTTTGGGCCCTCTTGGGCCGTCTTGGAGCCGTCTTGGGAGCCTCTTGGGCCGTCTTGGGGCGGTCTTGCATGCCTTTTGGGCTGCCTTGGAGCGTCGGGAAGCCGAACGGGCGGGAACGCTAACATGTTTGAAATACCTGAGGAAAGTCAACGGTTTTGGCTTCTTGGGGCCCTCTTAGGGCGCCTCTCGGGGCTCTCTTGGAGCGTCTTGGGGACCTCTTGGGCCGTCTTAGTTTCTCGGGGGCGTCCTTGGGAGGTTCCGCGGCCAGTTGGAGCCGTCTTGGGGCGGTCTTGGAGCCTCTTGGGGCTCTTTTGGGCCGCTCTTGGGCGCCCCTTGGGCGCTCTTGGGGCCGTCTTGGGGCCCTCTTGGGCCGTATTGGCCGCCGCTTGGGCCGTCTTTGGGCCCTCTTGGGCCGTCTTGGAGCCGTCTTGGGAGCCTCTTGGGCCGTCTTGGGGCGGTCTTGCATGCCTTTTGGGCTGCCTTGGAGCGTCGGGAAGCCGAACGGGCGGGAACGCTAACATGTTTGAAATACCTGAGGAAAGTCAACGGTTTTGGCTTCTTGGGGCCCTCTTAGGGCGCCTCTCGGGGCTCTCTTGGAGCGTCTTGGGGACCTCTTGGGCCGTCTTAGGTGTCAAAAAATGAGCCTCCCAGGGACCGACAAAGGACGCCCTGGCGACCCGCGGCCTCCCCATCTCCAGGCCCAGTGGGAGGGGGCAGGGGGAGGGGTAAACCCCTCCCCGAAGGGGAAGAAGGGGGTTGAGAACAGAGAGGACGATCTAAACCACTCACGCCCTGAAGGGCTGGTGGGATTTGCACTGGATCGTGGCATCGGGGGCGCGAGCCTTGTGTAGTTTTCGAGGGACTATGGCCTCGGGGGTGCGCATCATAGGTATTTTCACGTGTCCGAGGGCCCCCGGAAATTCGGAGAACACCGGGAGGCCGTGGTAACTTGGTCGGTTTTCGGTTCCCCCTCGCGAGGAAGAGTCACAATATGCAGTAGGAAGCAGGACGTAGAACTGTAGGATTGGAGACTGGAAACTGGGAACTGCATTGGATCTGTGGCCAGGACTGGGAGTTCAGGGCTGGTACCTGGTACTGAAACCCGACCCTCGCAGCCTGGTTGCCCCACGAGGGGGTGAGCGGATTACAGTAAATATTCGATCTCGTGGCCTCCCAGGGACCCGAGGGCACTCCGCTCAGTGCCCACGGCGCGCTGGCGGATTCTTTCACACAGGTTGAGCGTGTTCAGTAGGCTGTATCAGACCGTCCTTCGAGGGCGGCTTTTGGCTCGCGCACATCGGGGGCTGCCTTTCGCCCAAATACCCCGACGTTGTGATTTTTGCTCACAGCATGCATCCCTGGAGGTCTCGCGCCATTCCCCGGAACCGGTTCCTCGTTTTGCGTAGGTTTTCACACTCCCCAGGCCCCGGTGAGGGCCCCCGGGGGCCCGATCATGGCACAACACCGTCCGCAGCGCTTTTTCTCACGGCGCGAGGGTTGTCTGGGAGGAGCGCGCGTGGTCGGCACGGCTCCTCGGGAGGGCTCCCCTCGGCGGCCCCCGAGAGGTCTCGCCAGCGGGGCCCGGCGAGGCGGAGCCGTGCGCTGCGGGGACGTGGGGCGGCTCTGTGGGGGGCCAGCCCGTGGGCCTCGGCGTCCAGCAGGGCGCAGACGCGATCGCGCTGGCGCACGCGGTGCGCTGCCGCAGCCTGGCCGACGTCGAGGCCCTGCTGGACGCCTGGCCGCCGACGGGGCCCCGCGTGAGCCAGGCCGGGGAGGGGAGTCGGCCACGCGTGGAGGGGGGTATACAGGGGGAGGGGGGAAGCCTTCTCAGGAGGAGGCTGCTTCTTAGAAGGCGCGGGCCTTGCATGCAGATGTGAGGCCCGCGCCTTCTGAGGAGTAGCCTCCTTCTGAGAAGCCTTCCCTGCTCTCCCCCATACCCCCTTTTGCGCGCGCCGCCCAGGCAAGAGCGGGGACCAACGACACACCCCGCGTGGGGGAGCCCGTCGGCGGGCCGCTGCGCCGACGTTGGCGCGTAAGCTGCTCGCGCAAGGCGGCGCGCAGGCACCCTCGCTTCCAGCGTGGCGGGCGGCGCTGGCGGCCCGCGTAGGCCACCGCGCAAGGTCGATCACCTCGCGCAAGCCCCGTTCCTGATCGTCGCTCAGCTGGCTTTCGTGTCACCACTCGGGCCTCCAGCGGCCCCTCGGGGCGAGTCGGGCAGCCCCGGGCCGCTCTCGGCGAGGCGCAGCTGCCGGAGCGCAGCCCGAGGCAGGGAAGGCTCCCGCTCACCCGCGGAGGCCTCCGACGGCGTCCGGCCGAAGCGCGGAGGGCACCCGCGGGGGCAGCGAGGGCCCCGCTCCCCCCCCCAGGTGGTCGACAGCCACACGTGTGAGTCGGGCGCGCCCCTCTGCAGGAAGAGCAGGCAAGGACAGCCGAACAGCAGTCTGCTCCTGTTACCATACAAGTTTCATTTTTTGTTGGGCCCCGCTCCCCCCCAGTTGGTCGACAGCCACAGGTTTAAGTCGGGCACGTCGCTCTCAAGGAAGAATATGCAAGAACAGTCTGACTGTGGTCTGCTCCTGTGATCATACAAAGAGTGTGTGTGTGTGTGTGTGTGGACTCTCATTCGTATTTGTCTTGCGAACTCCGCCTGCAGGAGGACATTCCCGACCCAGCCATAGGTCTCCAGAAGCCCCGACCCGTTGCCCGGGGCTGGTCTTCCACCCCGGGTTTGGCGAGGGCCCCCAGAGCTCCCGAGCTGCATCAACACCTTCCGTCGTTTTTTTCGCCCTCGGGGAGTCTGTGGGGTCGAAGGGACGCGCCGCATCGCCGATGCATCGCCGATGTATCGGCGACGCATCGGCTATGCAGCAGCGACGTCGGCGATGCATGAATTCCGTCGGCGTGGCGGAAATCGGGCTCCGCACCGAGACGCATCGCCGATGCATCGGCGATGTGGTGTGATTCTCTGATTCTTTTTTCTCGGACCCCATCTGGGGGGCCTACAGTCGGGGCGCTGAGTAAGGAACCCTTTTCGTTGGGGAGGGGCTCGGTGTTCCTTGATTGTTTTACAGTTTGCCTTGGATTTTCTTGAGGTTCTCCATGGGAAGTCGAGATTTAACTGATGGGAAAAGGGGGCCTCGTTCCTTATTTGGGGTTCCTTAGGTCAACTCCCCGACTGTAGAGTCTCGTCACGACGACGTAGCGAACGAACGAACAAGCGTACGCCACGAGCGCGTGGGCAGAGACAACTGCGCGCGAAGCAGCGCGGCGGAAAAACTGCAGTGCAAGTTCGTGGAGCGGGGGAGGGGAGGGAGGGGAGGGGAGGGGAAGGGAAGGAGAAGGGAGCGGAGGGAGAGGAGGGAGACAAGGGAGAAGAGGGAGAGGAGGGAGGGGAGGGAGAGGAGGGAGGGCGGGGAGGGAGAGGAGGGGAGGGGAGGGAGGGGAGGGTTGGGAGAGGATTGGGAGGGGAGGGAGGGGGGGGGAGGGAGGCAAGCTATGTGCGCTCGCGTCATCTATCTGACGTCCTACCCCTCCCTCCCATCCCTTACCATGGCGCTGATTTTCTCTATCCGCGGACGCGTGTCGTAGCGGACCTGTGGCTCCGCGCGCGCGTGCGTAGTGGGTGGTGGTGCACGTGCGTGCGTGCGTGCGTGCGTGCGTGTGTGTGTGTGTGTGTGTGTGTGTGTGTGGTGTGTGGTGCGTGCTGGTGGTGGTGGTGTGGTGGTGGTGGTGTGGTGGTGGTGGTGGTGGTGTGTGTGTGTGTGCGTGTGTGCGCGTGTGCTGTGGTGTGACGTGGTGTGGCGTCTTGGTGGTTTGGTGGTGGGCCAGGTGCGTGCGTGCGTGATGGCGGTGGTGGTGGTGGTGGCGGCGGTGGTGGTGTGTGTGTGTGCGTGTGTGCGTGCGTGCGTGCGTGCGTGTGTGTGTGTGTGTGTGTGTGTGTGTGTGTGTATGTGTGTGTGTGTGTGTGTGTGTGTGTGTGTGTGCGTGCGTGTGTGTCTGTGTGCGCGCGCGTGTGATGTGGTGTGGTGCGGTGTCGCGTGGTGGTGGTGGGTGGGGTAGTGGGGTGGTGGTGGCGGTGCGCGTGCGTGCGTGCGTGCGTGCGTTGGTGGGTGGAAGTGGCGGTGGGCGGGGCGGGGCGCGGTGCGGTGGTGGCGGGCGGATGGGCGCGCGAGAAAGAGGCCCGCGCTGGGGCGAGAACGCCATCCTGAACGACGGAGGCAAAACACCGATCCGAAAATGAGACCCACGCTGCAGCGGGAGCACGATTCGGAACGAGCGGGGCCCGAAAATGAGGCCCGCGCCTCAGCAAGAGCAGCATTTTGGAACAAAAATGCAGGCGACAACCCAACTCCGGTGAATCCTGTGTGTAAAAAACAGTACGCGGGGGGGGGGCGGCTACTCCCAAGACGTCATCAGGGGAAGAGGGAGAGTAGTATTCATATTGAGTAATTGTAGAGGGACACTACTGAAATTAGCTCCCTCTTCCTGCCAGGATGCCGTGCCTGCTCCTCCCCCTTGCAGGTGGTCGACAGCCGCGGCCTGAACCTGGCCTTCTGGGCGGCGGCGCGGCGGGGCGGCGGCGCGGCGGGGCGCGAGGTGTGCAGGCTGCTCGTGGAGAGGCACGGCGTGCACCCCGCGTACATCGACCCCGCATCGCGGACACCCCTCTTCCGGGGGGGCCCACAGGGAGGCGCTCCTCCCTCGCCTCCCCGCTCCGCTTCGCTCCTCCTCGCGCCTCCTCGCGCCTCCCCTCCTCGCTCCTCCTCGGCTTCTCCTCCTCAGCTCCTGCTCCTCCTCGGGCTCCTCCTCC